CATGGAGACTCCATTTTGGGCCAACCTTCACCCCTATGCAAAAGAAGCCAGAAATGGAGACTCCATTTTGGGGCTTCTTCTAAAGTAGCCCCAAACGGAGACTCCGTTTTGGGCTATCTTTACCCACTATGCAAAAGAAGCTGGAGTCTCCATTTCGGGCTTGTTTTGAATAGGGGTGAAGGTTAGCCCAAAATGGAGTCTCCATTTCAGGCATGGAGACTCCATTTTGGGCCAACCTTCACCCCTATGCAAAAGAAGCCAGAAATGGAGACTCCATTTTTGGGCTTCTTCTAAAGTAGCCCCAAACGGAGACTCCGTTTTGGGCTATCTTTACCCACTATGCAAAAGAAGCCCGAAATGGAGACTCCATTTTGGGCTAACCTTCACCCCTATGCAAAAGAAGCCTGAAATGGAGATTCCATTTTGGGCTAACCTTCACCCCTATTCAAAACAAGCCCGAAATGGAGACTCCAGTGTGGGCTTCTTTTGCATATGGGTAAGAGTAAGCCTGTCTTTAAGCATCACAAGGCCCGGTGACCTTTGTGACATCATTTGACCCCCTTAGGAATGAGCTATCATCAAGAAACGTTGGAATCACTTATCCCTCAATAAATTCTACCTTCCTGTGATGTTTCAGCCTGATTGGACCTTGTTTTCACACAAATGGACCCAGAATAATGTGAAAATGTGCTTGGTGCAACATAGTTCTGGGTGTCATTTAAAAACCATAACCAATAATGACTCCAATCCTTTTTGTGGTAGTGGGGGCTGTTAATTGGAGTATTTTAAAACAGATCTGACCTCTCTAGGTCATTCAGAAGCCAAGTTATAAGCCAACAGCTGTTTTGGTAAGCAGGACGTCTCCATTTTGGGCTACTATCAACTCTATGCAAAAAAAGGCCCAAAATGGAGACTCCAATTTGGGCTACTATCAACTACATGCAAAAGAAGCCCGAAATCGAGTCTCCAATTTGGGCTACTATCAACTAAATGCAAAAGTAGCCCGAAAATGAGATTCCAATTTGGGCTACTATCAACTACATGCAAAAATAGCCCGAAATGGAGTCTCCAATTTGGGCTGTTTTCAACTACATGCAAAAGTAGCCCAAAATGGAATCTCTAATTTGGGCTACTTTCAACTACATGCAAAAAGGGCCCGAAATGGAGTCTCCATTTTGGGCTACTATCAACTCTATGCAAAAAAAGGCCCAAAATGGAGACTCCAATTTGGGCTACTATCAACTACATGCAAAAGAAGCCCGAAATCGAGTCTCCAATTTGGGCTACTATCAACTAAATGCAAAAGTAGCCCGAAAATGAGATTCCAATTTGGGCTACTATCAACTACATGCAAAAATAGCCCGAAATGGAGTCTCCAATTTGGGCTGTTTTCAACTACATGCAAAAGTAGCCCAAAATGGAATCTCCAATTTGGGCTACTTTCAACTACATGCAAAAAGGGCCCGACATGGAGTCTCCATTTTGGGCTACTATCAACTCTATGCAAAAATAGCCCAAAATGGAGTCTCCAATTTGGGCTACTATCTACTCAATACAAAATTAGCCCGAAATCGAAACTCCAGTTCGGGCTTCTTTTCTTAATAGAAAATGAAGTAATTAACATAGGAACAACATAGAAGGGCCACCTCCACGGGACAGGACTCAGCAGTTCATCTGCATCTAAAGGACAAAGGTCACTCTTTCCAGGATGACAATGTTTGGACAGAGAGGACAGATGGTTTGAAAGAGGAGTGAAAGAAGCCATTTACGTCCACTGTGAGCAACCATCTTTGAACAGAGGCGGTGGTTTACGACACCAACTGTCTGCCATCTATAATCCAGTTTTGAGATCCCTTCCCAGATGCCTTAATGCCCACTCACATCTTGGGCCATCTGACCTCAGGAAATCACATGATAGGGTGGAGCCAGGTTTCACAATGAGCTCACCCGAAACTCTGGCTGAATAGGACCCAGATCTGGGCTCATGTGATTATGCAGAAGATCATCGGGGGTCCTTTGTTCCCTCTTGGGGGGTGGGGGGGGGGGGGTTGGGGGGGGGGGGGGGGGTGACCGGAGTCTCCTATTCAGGCTACTTTTGCACAGGGGGTAAAATTACCTTGAAACGGAGACTCCATTTTTGCCTTCTTCTAAAGTAGCCCAAAACGGAGACTCCGTTTTGGGCTAACTTTACCCCCTATGCAAAAGAAGCCCCAAATGGAGACACCAGTTTGGGCTTCTTTTGCATAGGGGTGAAGGTTAGCCCAGAATGGAGTCTCCATTTTGGGGCTTCTTCTAAAGTAGCCCCAAACGGAGACTCCGTTTTGGGCTGTCTTTACCCACTACTCAAAAGAAGCCCCAAATGGAGACTCCAGTTTGGGCTTCTTTTACATAGGGGTGAAGGTTAGCCCAAAATGGAGTCTCCATTTTGGGGCTTCTTCTAAAGTAGCCCCAAACGGAGACTCCATTTTGGGCTATCTTTACCCACAATGCAAAAGAAGCCCCAAATGAAGACTCCAGTTTGGGCTTCTTTTGCATGGGGTGAAGGTTAGCCCAAAATGGAGTCTCCATTCTGGCACACTGAAAAAAAAGCCTGAACCGTACGACCGCCCCCTGGGTGGGCCCGGACCCTCCCACAAAGTAGCTCGAATTCACCTCTGCGATTCGGCGCACTAGAAAAATAGCCCGTATTGAGCGGCCGCACTGCCCCCTGTTGGCCAAGGTAACCCGAAACAAGTTCGGCCAGGTTCCCCTAGGTGTCCACAGGATGGCCTCAGTGGCCTTCTGCTTCCTCTGTCTCCCGGTGAACAGGTGTTTTGATCATTCACAATCATGGATCAGCTGTTAAAAGCTGCCCTCTTGCCCTAATTCAGTGAGAAGGTCCAAGGGTGGAGTAGACTGGAAACAGTTTATTCTATTCTCTTCTCCTCATTCGCTCTTTGGTAAAACTCGTCATAATTAGTCTTCGGTGCTCTCGGTTTTTGGATTTGGATTTGGATTTAGGATTTGACAATTCAGCAATTTGACTTTGGACCACATTTGACTTAGGCTTTGGATCTCCCCTTTTGTGTAAATAGCATATTCTTGGTTGTCTACCCCCATCCCCTTCTGGGTTGGTGCTTTTGGTTTCTCCTTATTAAATATTGCTCCTTTGGTTTTGTATATAGTATTGCTTTTTAATTCTTTGTAGATATTCCATTCCTTTTGTAATTAAAATCCCTTGTTTTATAGCAACACAGCACTCTGTTTATTATTAAATCCACACACCACTTTTATTACTCCCCTCCTCATCTCTCCTAGAGAGCCGGGGGACGTAATATCCTCCAATGCCTGCGTTTTTGCCTCGGTGACCACCTGAGCTGTGTTCCGCTCAGACTGCCGGTACCCATCAGCTGCCTCTGGAACACTACAGGACAAAAATACCTGAGAGGACTCTTTCTTCAGCTTGACAGCATCCCTAACCGCCGGTGTCCACCAGCGGGTTCGGGGGTTGCCACCACGACAGGCACCGACGATCCTGCAACCACAGCTCCGGTTGGCTGCCTCAAAAATGGAGGCACGGAAATGGGTCCATTCAGACTCAAAGTCCCCTGCCTCCCCTGGAAAATTTTGGAAGCTCTGTCGGAGGTGCGAATTGAGGATCCTTCTGACAGGAGACTCTGCCAGAGGTTCCCAGCAGACCCGCGTGATACGTTTTGGCCCTCTTGATTTGAACATCACCCTCCCACACCATCTGGGCAAACTCACCACCAACCCGAGTGTCCAAGACATGTGGCCGTAGGTAAGATGAAACAACAACAAAGTCGATCATCGAGCTGCGGCCCAAGGTATCCTGGAGCCAAGAGCACATACGGACACCTTTATGTCTGAACATGGTATTCATTATGGATAATCCCTGACTGGCACAGAAGTCCAATAACAAAACACCACTCAAATTCAGATCAGGGGGGCCGTTCCTCCCAACCACACTTCCCCGGGTCTCACTGTCGTTGCCCACAAGAGCGCTAAAGTCCCCCAGCAGAATGAGGGAGTCACCGGAAGAAGTACTCTCCAGCACCCACTCCAAGGTCCCCAAAAAAGGTGGGTAGTCTGAACTGTAGTTTGGTGCATGAGCACAGACCACAGTCAGAACCTGCCCTCCATACGTAGGCGGAGGGAGGCTACCCTCTCATTAACTGGGGTAAACCCAAGTACAGGCACCAAGATGGGGGGCAACTAGTATGCCCACCCCTGCTTGGCGCCTCTCAGTGGGAGCAACTCCAGAGTGGTAGAAAGTCCAACCCCTCTCAAGGAAACTGGTTCCAGAGCCAGAGCCAGAGCCAGAGCCATGCGTTGAGGTGAGTCCGACTATATCTAGTCGGAACCTCTCAATAAACTTTTCCCTCCTTCAGGAAGGAATTAAAAGTAATTCATCGGGGCCTCCTTTACTTCTCTGGCCCAGCAAAAGGTGAGTTTGCTGGTTGTTTCATTCCATCCCAGCATTCGTCTGATCAGAGGAGCTGACGAGGGTCTGTTCTGAGCGTGATGCGCTCATGCAGTGTATTCTGATACAGCAATAGTCTTCCTGCAGCAAAATAATGGTGATTTTACCAGAATTAAAAGTCTAGGTTGCACAAGTTAAAATATCTCTCCACAGAGTAAGGGTGGTTGTCAGGAGGGGTCAGAGGGTTAGGGTTAAGGGTTAGGTGTGGTCAAAAGAACCCAAAAGCCATGGATGGATTTTAACATAAGGAGATGATGAGGAAACAGCACCCCCGTGTGTTTGTAATCTGTAATGCAAAACCCGTGTCTAGAGTAATATTGGGTCCATACCACACACACACACACACACACACACACACACACACACACACACACACACACACACACACACACACACACACACACACACACACACACACACACACACACACACACACACACACACACACACACACACGTGAGAGGTGATGCACTCCACAGTCTAACACAGATCATTTAGAGGAACAGCCGTTCAGTCAAGGTTCAGCAATGAGATGAACTAAAACTTTTATTTTCTTTGCAGACTCAACATTTAGATTTAAAATGAGGTAAGATGAAAATTTCAACATTATTAACATGAAAGCCTAAAAGTGATGAATTACCTTCTAAATACTATCGGAGACGTAGCATCGATGCTGAAAACACGTGAAAACAGACAAACTGATTCTGGCAGGTTGGCATGCTGGGACCAGCTCTAGTGAAGATTTAGACTCAGTCATCAAACAAAGTCAGGAGGACATTTTTATTTATGTTGTGCTTTGGGTTGTGCTTTGGGTTGTTGTGGTAGAAACATGGGACATCGTGCCCAGTGGTTTAATACAGACAAAGGAGAGCTCTTGGGTGCATTCCTCGTCGTTGACATAATCTTGCTCTGAAAAAGAAAGAACAGAGTCAGAAAGCTGAGCTTTTCTTCTCGATACATGTAGAAATATCTAAACTGTTACCAACGTGGGGTCATGTGACTATCAGCTATATGATCATTTCCTGTTTTCAGCTCTGACCTCAACAGCTGATCTATACTAGTCCTGACTAACGAGGCAGCGGTGTAGTCAGCAGTGATCTCGTACCGCGCAGGTTGATGTCCATGCAGTGCTCGTTTCCTCCCTGGTTGTTGGGTTCACCTGGACCCCAGTTGGTAAAGGTAAACGGTGTTCCATCGGTCCACATCCACTGACCGCCCTGACAGAAGAAGTGACTCAGAGTCAAGTTTACTTCTTGGTAGTCATCATTCACTCGTTCATGCTCAGTGTGAACTCAGATTTACCAGGATCAGCAGCAAGTCCTGTACCATCAGAACACAACAACCGTGACTGATCTCACCGTGACTTTATTGGTGCCTCCAACCCAAGACTTTTGGTTGAATCCTGCTCCTTTGACGATCAGATCCCTGATGAAGTTGTACTGATCTGTGTTTTGGATGGAGGTCAGATGTCCTTCGTCTTGTTTGCAGAATGCCTGAGGGAAAGTAAGACATGACATCATCACATCAGCTGATCCAGGTGTCCAACAATCATCTCTGAAGGCTGGATAGTCCCAGCCGAGGCAGACTGCTCTGCTGAACCTTCGTTTGAAATGAGGAGCTTAGAGCTTTTAAGAGAAAATCAGCTGTACCTCAGCGTCGGCCCAAGTCTTTTCCTGATCCTCATATTGGTAACAATTGTTGTCATACTCAGTCCAGTCAAGAGGACAATCTACACAAACAGGATTAATGTTAACATTTTTATGGACGGCCAATGACAGTAAATCATGATGCATTCATCTGCTGCTTAGAAAGGAGAAAGCATCTACTCAGTTACTTACCTGATTGTGCTTCACAATAAATCTGTGGGAGCGAAAACACAAAGAGTGAAAAACTGGATCCAGTAGAAAAATAATTCAGCTAAACCATCCTAACCACACATGTAGAAAAAAGGAGGTAATCAGCACAATGAAAGGGAATAGAGCCCTGCACTGAAGCCCTAGGCCCTCGGGTCGGCCTGGCCCGACAGCCTGAGGGTCAGGCTTCGGGCCAATGACTATGTAATTGCCTCGGACACGGGCCGGGCGCCTTTATTTTTAATCGAATTCATAAAAAAAAAAAACTGAAACACTTAAACGCAGCAGCACCTGCCTGCTTCTCACGCACCGGCACCCGTTAGCTCAGTTAAGGTCTGTGTGGTTTATAAATGCGCCTTTATAAACGAATTCTCAAACTGCTGATTGAAACATGTGCCCCTATTCTAATATACCATTTTATGTCCACTTTGATGTCAGAAACCATTCCTTTATTCTCATGAAAACGGCAGCATCCTATTTTTCTGTGAATAAATTCGCTCTGCAGTTAAAAAAATACAGCATTCATTACTGGTTGTTTTTCTAACTGGAGAGTGCATTTTCAGAGCGGCAGATTAAATTTACAAACACATCCAATTAATATAGTGTTCGTAAATTTCATCTGTCGCTGGAAAAATACGCTCTGTTAGAAAAAAGAGCTGCATTGATGCTGTATTTCTTTCTTTTATTTATTTATTTATTTATTTATTTATTTTTTATTTTTTATTTATTTATTTATTTTTACTGCAGAATGCTTCTCACAGATAATTAGAATGCTGAGCATTCTATCACGCTAAAACATTATGAAAGGTTAAAAAAAAGCCGGGCTCGGACTCGGGTTGGCCTGGGGCTCCACCCCCTCGGGCCGGGCCGGACACAGGCTCAGATTTTAGGCCCGTGCAGGACTCTAAAAGGGAATCCGGTCAGAATTGATGAATGAGAGCCAGTTTTAGTTGATCTAATTGGCCCTTTGTCTTGTTTTACCACCAAACCATAATCAGTCAGTTTAGCTGCAGGTTAGTGCAGGAATGCTGGTTTTAGTTTCTGATCCTGCTGCACTGAATAACAACTTTTCTGTAATAAAAGCGCTCCTGTCCTGAGCCGGGACAACAGACCCATTTGTCCTTCCTGTCAGCGAGCCTGAACTTCAGTGACGAGGAGGATCGTCTGTAAAACATGAACGAAGTTTCTGCTTCGTTGGTTTTAAACACGTTTCATTGGTTCGTTTCTCATCAGGTCATCATGAGAAAATAAATCCACCAAAGTCACATTCATGCTGATTATTTAACTACAGAAGAACTTCTGCTGACTCACATTTCCTCCGATCCCGAGGAGCAGCAGGAAGAGCAGACCTGACGCCATCTGGGTAGAACGTGTCATTTTAGTGTTCAGGAGGAAAATCCACATTAAAAGACTTTTCTAAAAACTCTGACGTGGATGTCATCACTAGCAGTAACAGCTGATGAAGAGAGGTCAGGTTTTACCTTGTTGTGATGAATCCAAGCAGCAGCAGCAGCAGTCTCTGGGTGAAGGATGCCTTCCTGAACTAAACACAGAGTTTATATACCGTTGCTCCAGCTGGAGGGCCTGTCAGTCACTGAGGACAGCTGATTAGATAAACATGAAGACCACGGGGCAAACACACCCAACCCTAACCCAGCTAGTACTGGGACTGGTCAGTGTGGGTCAGCAGCAACGACCACACCTGAAGCTGCTTCATGTATCTGACTTCACCATCTCTCTCTCTCTTTGTGTCTCCAGCCCAGCAGGTTGGCGCTGTTGGAGGACATTGCTGAGGTTTTCTAAGATAAGGTTTAGGTCAGCTGTTCTGTTGTTGACAAGAAACTTTTAGTATAATCTGGGTTATAATCTGGGTTTTGCATTATTTTACATCCAGCACTAAATGTTGGTGCTTGGATGGGTTTCACTTCGGTTCTGAAGTCATCTGACACCAGATCTTCAACCAGTCAGCTGTTCTTCTCAGACCAACACACAATCTGGGTGCCTCTGCTGCTCAAGCTTCAACTCAATCATGTCTTTGCAAAATGTAAGAAAATGATGCTGGTTATAGATTCATAATGTTTTCATTTCTACATGACTTAAATCTGCAGATCCAGGATGGAAATCCCATCATCCGTCTCCATGTCCACATTCTCCAGTTCCCTCAGTCTAATCCAGATTTTATTATCACTCCAACAGTCAGCGTAGTCTCTGTTGGATATCAGACACCTTTAGAAACCAAAGCTGAACTAGATAGATCTAATCTATATGTTGGGTTTTTCTTCTTAAAGTTGTTTAGTTTTTGTTCATTTTCTGTCCTGCAGATAACACGACCGATATCCGTTCTTCTAAATGAGGTGGAACAACTCCTCCTGGTGTGCGGGTATCTGAAGTTTACAGGTAGAAGTCAATCCTGAAACCATTTTGCCTGGAAGATATTTTGAATACCTCTCTTTACTTCTTTTGTCTAAGGTCCATCCGGCAGGTTTCCACTGTGGTATTTAGGGTTTTATCTTATTTTCTTCAATAAAAAACAGTTATTTAGTTCTACTAAACTTTTAAAGTGATGTTGAGTTTAGGAATGTGCTCATTTTATTGTTTTTCTGGATCACCGTGGGTTCAGAACCAAAATCAGAGGTCAGAGGTGATAATGCAGCTCTAACACCCAATATGCAGTGGGGCAAAAAAGTATTTAGTCAGCCACCGACTGTGCAAGTTCTCCCACTTAAAATTATGACAGAGGTCAGTAATTTACATCATAGGTACACTTCAACTGTGAGAGACAGAATGAGAAAAAAATCCATGAATTCACATGGCAGGATTTTTAAAGAATTTATTTGTAAATCAGGGTAGAAAATAAGTATTTGGTCACTTCAAACAAGGAAAATCTCTGGCTCTCACAGACCTGTAACGTCTTCTTTAAGAAGCTTTTCTGTCCTCCACTCGTTACCTGTATTAATGGCATCTGTTTGAACTCATTATCTGTATAAAAGACACCTGTCCACAGCCTCAATCAGTCAGACTCCAAACTCCACTATGGCCAAGACCAAAGAGCTTTCGAAGGACACCAGGAAAAGAATTGTAGACCTGCACCAGACTGGGAAGAGTGAATCTACAATAGGCAAGCAGCTTGGTGTGAAAAAAATCAACTGTGGGAGCAATTATCAGAAAATGGAAGACATACAAGACCACTGATAATCTCCCTCGATCTGGGGCTCCACGCAAGATCTCATCCCGTGGGGTCAAAATGATCATGAGAACGGTGAACAAGAATCCCAGAACCACATGGGGGGGGGGGGGGGTACCTGGTGAATGACCTGCAGAGAGCTGGGACAACTGTGACAAAGGTCACCATCAGTAACACACTACAACGGCAGGAAATCAAATCCTGCAGTGCCGGACGTGTTCCGCTGCTGAAGCCAGTGCATGTCCAGGCCCGTCTGAAGTTTGCCAGAGAGCAAATGGATGATACAGCAGAGGATTGGGAGAATGTCATGTGGTCAGATGAAACCAAAGTAGAACTTTTTGGAATAAACTCAACTCGTCATGTTTGGAGGAAGAAGAATACTGAGTTGCATCCCAAGAACACCATACCTACTGTGAAGCATGGGGGTGGGAACGTCATGCTTTGGGGCTGTTTTTCTGCTAAGGGGACAGGACGACTGATCTGTGTTAAGGACAGAATGAATGGGGCCATGTATCGTGAGATTCTGAGCCAAAACCTCCTTCCATCAGTGAGAGCTTTGAAGATGAAACGTGGCTGGGTCTTCCAACACGACAATGATCCCAAACACACCGCCCGGGCAACAAAGGAGTGGCTCCGTAAGAAGCATTTGAAAGTCCTGGAGTGGCCTAGCCTGTCTCCAGACCTCAACCTCATAGAAAATCTGTGGAGGGAGTTGAAAGTCTGTGTTGGTCGGCGACAGCCCCAAAACATCACTATTCTCGAGAAGATCTGCATGGAGGAATGGGCCAAAATACCAGCTACTGTGTGTGCAAACCTGGTAAAGACCTATAGTAATCGTTTGACCTCTGTTATTGCCAACAAAGGTTATGTTACAAAGTATTGAGTATTTTTGTTATTGGCCAAAAACTTATTTTACACCCTGATTTACAAATAAATTCTTTAAAAATCCTGCCATGTGAATTCATGGATTTTTTTTCACATTCTGTCTCTCACAGTTGAAGTGTACCTATGATGAAAATTACTGACCTCTGTCATCATTTTAAGTGGGAGAACTTGCACAATCGGTGGCTGACTAAATACTTTTTTGCCACACTGTAACCCCTGTAGCATCATCAAGGTTCTCTAATTTGTGGCAAAGGTCACATTTACCCAGCTGGGTCAGGCTGTAACTTTTAAGTCCACAGATTAACCAAGGAGTCATGATGTCTGCTGAGTAGCGCTCATTATCTGCTGCTGTTCTGGCCCAGAAGAAGGACACTTCAAGTTCATGATAATAATTAGATAATAATATTAATAAACTCTTTGAATTTATTACTGTTTATTATAATCATCATAAATAATCACTTGGCTCAGTATAAATGTATTTTAATTACTGAAATGATTTATTATGCTTTGGGTATAATAATGATTACTATTTATGGTTAGTAATGCATGTTCAGCAAATCAGATGGTCAGCTTCCACCTTATCCATCTAACACAGAATTTATCCACACTAAGGGTAATTGCCAACACATGTTTTTGACGCATGACCAAAGCTTTCTTGCTGAGAGTGGGTGTGTTCTGAGGACTTTGTAAACTAACTTGCAATAGCTCTCAAGTCAGTTCTTGAACCAACACCATCCTGAGGAGACGGGACGGCCGCCCTGATCCTCTGCCAAGCTGTTCTGTCACGCCGATAAGAATAGCTAAGAATAAACTGTAACCAGCTGACGGAAAAACTCCTTCCAGAGTTATTGATTTCTGAGTTAAGTTAAGACGAGAAACTCCTTCAGAGTTTAGCCAAACACCCGACACTGTGTACCCGGCAACATCTCTGGACCAGAGGATCGGTTCACTCGCGTCTTCTCTACCGGACCGAGTACCCCGAGGTGGACACCATCCTCCTTGATCTCTGGATCCACAAAGAGGGTCTCTTGTTGGGTGAGGTAGCACACAGCAATGTGTTTGATGCTGTTTTCTCTAAGTAAACAACTCAGGTAGCTGCAAAAACATCATTTCCAACCCAGAACACTTTCCTCTCTCTGAAAGAAACCTTCTGAGAAATCCATTCACGCATCCAAACTTGTATTTTCACTTAGCTTTCATCCAGCCACAGGTTTGCCTTTTAAAACAAGTTTAATATCAAAGCTGTTAAAATTGTCATTAAATTGTCATCCATGAATTGTCATTCTAATTGTCGTTCAAATCGTAGAGTTTAGCAAAGATTCCTAGCTTCTGATTCAAAAATAAACTTTTGCTATTAAATTTAATTACCTTGAATTAAACATTAATCTTTGGATTAAAAATAGACCAACAGGTTGGTGTATGAATTGATATCGATTATATAGGTATCTTGGATATTTATACATGATAAAAGCTTCATAGATTATTCTGCTTGGTCATTCTCAGAATCTACAACTGAATAGCAACAGTGTTGATTCTAGTATGTAGTTAACCCTACACCCCGAAGGCGTTTCACGAGTCCTGATGAGGAGGACCGACACTGGGGACGAACAAAACTCCCACTAAGCATCCTCAACGCAGCTGCCTGCACAACAACCAGCCATCAACAATCGGTCCACGACCATCCACCAACTGCCAAAACTCATAAAAGACCCTACCCACCACCTCAGGAGGCCTGCCACAGCCCAATGGCCACCCTGCTTATTTTAGAACCATACTCTGGGAGCCCATTTCGACATCCAGTCCAACTGTACTGCTCTTCAGGGCTGCCTTGGCCGCAGAGTCCACCCGCTCATTACCCACTGCCCCCACATGAGCAGGATCCCAAACAATACAGACCACAGCCCCAAGCCCGTAGCCCATGCAACAAAACCCTGGCTGAGACAATCAGATCTGGTCTAGAATATAGCCCGACCCCCTCCAACTCAGCTGCAGAGTCAGAGCAGATAACAGCACGTGCCAGGACAGCATATGATAGCCACCAGCTTAGCCGTAAACACAGAGCAATGGTCTCAAATCCAACAACTACTGTTGTAGCTCAGGCGTAGGATCACCAAACCCACCACCACTCGACCACTGTCAGGATCATTAGAACCGTCCAAATCCAGCTGAAGCCACTAACCACCCCATCACCACGGCTGCTCCCCAAAAAGGTAAAGTCCACCTCATGTACGAGCAGAAGCCAGGGCAGAACAACAGACCAGATCAGGTGGGAACAGACAGGCCAACCAAGGAATCCCAATGTGACAGCTCTTACCCTCAGCTGGTCATAAAACCCACCCCACCTGACCAACCCCATTCTTTAAACTCCCAATGCTGGTCCAACAGGCCCGATGCGGGGGAAGCCAAACCCAAAACCCTGACCCTCGTCAGGTAATGGAGACCCAGCTTGACCCGACAAAGGCATTTTGCCCAAGTCGACCGG